GGAAGAGCTCTAAAGAAGAGCTTGGCTGATGCCCAAAGCCAGCTGGCACAACTGGAACTGCAGAAAACAAAGCTTTGAAGGATCAGGATTCAGCTTATTCTAAAAATATTAATAATAAGATGATAAATAGAGAAGAGAAAAATTACTTACATTATTTTAGGCTATAAACCCAAATGCTAAAGTAAGTAAACATGGATCTCTATTAAATCCTTATCTTCATCTTTTCCAGATCCAGCCCATAAGGAAGTAAAGAGTGGAGGAAGTGGGTTCAACTAATTAAAAAAGAGGCAATACAGGAGTGCAGCTGTTCTTGCTTAAGCACAGCTTCAGAAAACTTCAGAAAACTTTGTGCAGTTTTGCAACCTTGATCTCCAGGCATTTCACCCCAGTTTCCTTCAGAAGAGGATGAAGACCTTGAATAATCCTGTAGAACACAGCTGACTTTTTGTCCAGAGTATCTTTCGTGGGTTTTGTTTTGTTTAAATTAGGAAAATGTTTTTTTAAAATATTTTTTGGGGGGAAAAAACCCTGGTATATAATAAAACACAGAATTAGAAAGCAAAAGCGTTCTAAAATTTTATTTTATTATTTTGGAGTGTTAAGCTAAAATTGGAATACAGATCATACTGCATTTAGATTATTTCAAACAATAAAAAAGAATTACTGGGCCTGGTTTATTCAGAATCTAAGGAGTGTTCTCAGTGCAAAGGAGGAAGGAAGAAGTTCTGTGCTGGAATCCTAAAAGAGCAAGTATCAAAAAACTAGTGAAATGTGCAGCCCAGTGAAAGGTTCAGCATCTAATGATAAAAGCACAGCAGTGGTTCAAAAGCAAACAAATCCTGCTAGAATGAAAAATCAATGAGCTTTGAGAAATTCTGACAATGAAAAGGTCCCTCTCCCTGTGAGATCAAATGGAGAAGCCCCATTAGCAGAGCAGCCATCTGCCTTTTCCTACTCCCCATGTCCTGTACCACCACCCAGGCTACTTTCTCCTTCACCAAAGGACATTCACAGCAGAGCAAACAGGCCCAACATTTCGGGAAACAAAGAAAATGAAATGATCTGGGGTGACACAGAAAGGTGCCAGAAATCAGCCCTTAAAACCAAGCCCAAGCCTAGCCAGGCCAGTATTTGGGAGGCAGGGAAGGGACTCCTTGGTGCACAAAATATCTCCAGTGCCAGGGGAAGGGGTGAATCCATGAACCCGAGGCACATCCCATGGAGAAAACTGATTATTCACACACACACACAGATTAAATATTGCTATAAATTCTTTTGCAAGATTATCCCACACAGCAGTGGGATAAAGGTTTATGGCAGCCAATGTCAAACAAATGTGATTTCCCTGAAGGCAGTTGAACAAACCTGGAGGTGAAGGACAAATCTGGATTATTGATAAGTGTCTCTGACCTGTCCCCTTTGATAACTCTCCTTGTGTCTTGGAACTAGGCTAAATATTTCTAAAATAATGGCTGAAATACAAACTGTGAGAGAAGAAATTTTACAAGAGACACCACATAACAAAGTACAGCAGATAACACAAGTTTAAAAGACAACAGGAGTAAAAATTCCACTCTCTTGAAGAGAAAATTGGCTTTGACTCATTCCCTGAAGGTGACATTCATAGCAAAACCCAAAGCAACAAGTGGTTTATATTTGGGGTCTGTTTTATCAGCTGATAGCTGAAATCTGACTGTGAGAAAAGCAACATTCTGCTTCTATTCATGGCAGCTCTCTCGTTGCTTTGCATGACTTTCAAAGCAACAAAATAGTTGGGAAATAAATTTTAAAAAGTTCAAGAACTACTCATTAACAGTCAGACATCTGCACTTCCCAAACCACCCAAAACAAAGGCTGGTTCTTAATCCCAGTGGATCATGTGGACAGCAGACTGTGCGGGAATGCAAGGAGTGTTTTGGCTACAGCACTAATTCTTTGCAGTGAATAAATATATTTGCCTAAAAAGTAATGCAAAACACACATATTCCTTTCCAAATTCCCCAAGTGCCTCATCTTCCTTTCCCCATCCTTTCTGAGGGGCTGTGTTCAATGGACAAACATTGCTCCAATACTGTGGCCTTCCAGCTAATTAAGAGGATGTGCCAGTTCTTTACCCCCCGAGTCCAGATCTGTTTCTCTTCAACGAACTCTGCTCTTCAATAAAAGTTATACTCAAAGTATAGCATGAGCAGACCGACTTTATACAATGGCTCTCCCATTTATGACATGAGAAAACCATTTTCTCTATTACTATAAACTCTAATGATTCATTTGAAACAGTAAAACAGGGGGTTTAGTTGCCTTGATGAACTTACACATCCACCGTGGATTCATCTTTTAAAAAAACATAAATAGCACAGTGCATCAGAAAAACCCAAAGCAAATCATTCCCCAGCTTGTGGCTTTATGAGTTACAATAAAAACAACCTTTATTTATTTATTTTTCCACCCATAAATATCAGAGAATGTTAAAATTTGGCATGGAATCTATCTGCATCTCAGTCTTGTGCACTGATAAAAGAAATGGCAGTAATTTAAGAGATAACAACACCTGCTTGTGCCTCAGGGGAATGAGGTGTAAGCTCTTGGTGGGGTGGTTCAAACAAAATAACATTTACCCAGAAAACCCCACCCCAAACTACTCTGCAAACTACATATTTCTGACTTTCAGAAAGAATGCACGGGACTATCGTGGCTTACTGCGATTTCTCAGATGATTTCCAAATGTTTCATTACTACAGAGTATGGGATACGATTTCTGATCCAGATGCTTAAAAGAACAAATCTAACAAAGAAACTTAATCTGAGCTAGACTTGGCAAATTTTCCAGAAAAAAAAAAAGCAGAATGATGTTTTGGAAGCTGCTCAAACAAAAGCCAAAATGGAAATATGCCTCTTTCAACCATACCCTGGGCTGCTGTTAAAAATAAGAGGAACACTTAGAGTTTCCACAAGTGTGAATTGCAGCTGAGGTTTATAAAATAGAAAACTTCAATGTCAAAACTGCCCAAGAACAGTTCTTTACTTTTATCTTAAGCTAAAGCCACCATTCTCTACACTGTATTAACAAGGAGACATGAGAGGTCTTGCATATACAAGAATATAGATCAATTAGATCAATTAGAAGGAAAACATCAATTTTTTTAAATTATTATGCTTTAAAAAAAGCCCACAGAAGCATGTAGATGGCAGAAGAGTGACACAATCCCCTACTTATTTAAACTTATTTAACCTGGCCATTTCAGAGCACCTAATGAACACGGGTAAAACTTACAGAAAAGGTTTTTTTCACCTTTAAACTGAGAAACTGTAGAACAGAGAGCTCCAATCTGCTTGGAGTCACGTAGGATTTATGTGAATTCAAATGTGCTGAGGTATTGCTTTATCTGATAGCCTTGTTCCTCCCCTGAAGAAAGACAAGGCTAAATCTTTGTACAGCCACATATCTCTCTATAAACACCAGGAAAATTTCAAATCTTAGCCAATTCTTTTTTATTATTATTATTTCAAGCCATTCAGAGAGGACAAAGAACCAAATTTATGTTTGGCTTCACTTACTTCTGGGAAAGAATTTGGCCAAATGTTTGTATTCCATCAAGAGGAAGAAACTATGAACTTCAACAATAAAAATAACCAATACCATATACAAATTACATATGGAAGAATGTTGGTAATTGTCTGTCTTTTCACCCCCCCACCTTATATTATTGCTGTATGGTTGCAATTTAAGAAGTAGAAAAGCTCCCAAAGTAGAATTCCTACAGTGAGCAAGCCAGACAGAACTACTACAGGGAGTATCCTTGCATACCACAGGCTGTGTGAAGTTTAATTATGTAAATCTAGAATACCATATTCACGTTATATAAATCAATTTTATTCTAATTTCCTAGCAAGGAGGAAAGGCTCACAGAACCCAGAGGTATCAGAGTTAGAAAACATCTGCAACAAATCTAATTCTTTCGTTCTGCTACAGCCACTTGGCTCCCAAAGTGTGAAAAATGGCTATCACTTAGTAAAGCTGGTGTCCAACTACTTGAAAGCACACTCACTTTGAGAAGGAAAATTAAATTACAAATGTTCTTACCTTGATTGGAGATTTACATTTTATAACAGCACAGCAATTTATAGGAAGGGAGAGTTCAGTATATTAAATTTATGATGAGTTTAGATGCTTTAACTTCACCTCGATTTTAATTACGTAACAAGATACCAAAGTACAATTTAAAAAAGACCTGAATACAATCATTAATATAGACATTTAGACTCCTGTCAGTGAATTGTGGAGCTTTTAATTTCCCTGTGCATGACTGCAATGCTGGTTTGAATTCAGCCCCACAATGGCCAAGACATTTCCCAGAGTGATAACAAAGAGGGGTTTTGTTACGGCTGCTGAAGGGGTCAGTGGCAGCTGCACCCTGGGCCTGCCATAATCACTATAAAATACTGGCCTGCAACAATGGCTGCTCATTGGAATATAAAACAATTGGAATGTTGAATCTGGAATTTCAGCAGCTGCTACTGGACATTTTCCATAGCTTTGAAGCACCAGCTATCAGCGCGCTCATTTTCTGCATCTTCGCATCCCCGATCTCATTTTAGTGATAAAAAACATTTGTGGTGCTGTACCACGAGTCAGATGCCTGATGTAAACCAGTATAAAAATAATCCACAGAAATGGCAATATTCTTAATCCAAACCATTCCAGAGATGCATTTTAGTTTCTCCAGGAGTTGCTCTCGTGGAGCAGAGGAACAGCCTGAAGCACGGAGTGGGACGGGAGAAGGGAAGGGGCAGAACCTTTCCAGCTCAGGCTTTTCTTCCAAGCCAGTTTCATCTGCAAAGAGACCCGAGTTTATTTAAGCCAAACTTTGTTTTTGCACCAGGAAGCAAGTAAAATGATTGCATTTTGCCACTCACAGCTCCAGTGAGCACTGGCCTTGCCTGGTGAAAGATCACTTGATTATCGGCGGCAGGCAGACAATAAATAAATCCCAGCACTGTGACTGTCTCAGCACTTTATTATTAATGTACATTGGACCAGCCTAACACCTGGTTTGGCCCTGTATTTTTAAATCTCTCTCTTTTTAAAGAATATTTAAAGAAAATATTACATATTTTAAAGCACATTTCAATATAGTGGAATTCAAATAATTCTGCTAAGTTAGATGTCAGGCTTTTTCTGGCAGGCATGAGCAGGGAGGAGCAGTGGTAACTGCAGGACATGACTCCGAGATTGACATTTATTTCTCACTCAATAGGATTTAGTTTCACTTAAATATAGCCCTCAAGGAATTAAAGAATAAAATATTCAGTCCCTGACACCTAAGAGCTCTCAGTTTTCCCAGAGAACACCGTAAGCATGGATGGGACGATAAATACATGGCAGATTCTGCAAACACATGTAGAGACATTTACTGAAACACTCTTAAGCTTCTTCCTGGAGTTATAAATTTATTTTTTCTTCTTTAATAAGGCTTCAGCAAACAATATTCCCAGAGAGATGGAAACAGCACCGATCCCAGTGAGGATCTACTGACTGAGACAGGAGGAACAAACACATTTTGGCCGAGTGAAAAGAAGCATATTCAGTGTCAAGCACAAGGAAAGCAATTCAGACAGATAATTCCTGGGAGACAAATGATTCTGGCACCAGCAGAAAGAAGTAACACGAAAAACCTTTTCCAAGGTCATCTCTGGATGCACACAATCAGAAGGGGAAAGCCAGACTCATGGAAAATATTTAATCCATTGACACCAACTCAGGTGAGTTCCAATATTCCCTGGCCATCAGAACATTATTTCTTGGAAATTCTCAACAAGCAAGTGCTCAAGGGTTGATGTGTGGGTCACAGCCTTTCATATGAAGTGCAATCTCACACTGAAATAAATAGTTCTATTTCAATTAATTAATTAAAATTACTAACTAAACAGATCAGTTAAAGTAGACAAGATTTTGTCTTTCAAGAGAAAGACAAAATGCAGAGCAGAAAAAGAACAGGATAATAAAAATTGTGAAGGAAAAGGAAAATTGTCCAAAGGAAATGTGACAATTTCAGTGTCAAACCACTATGGACATGAGTCCTTTGCAGCCTGATTTGACAACTGGCTGCAATGCTTGTGAGTGCTGCTTTAGAGAGGAGTTTATATGCACTGCTGTTGGATTACAGACAAACATCACTGGAAAGAAAATGATGATCATGGTTGCAGAACTTCTACATTAATAATACAGCTGAGCCTAGCAATATATTCATTTCAAATAATGCAAGTAAATACTTATTTCTGCAACTATTTTCAATTTTTGTCTGTCAAGTGATTTATCAAGTCAATATCCATGTGCCCAACAACGAACAGTGCAGTAAAGAGGATCTGGTTTCCACGGACAATTTTGTTTTAATTTTTTTGGAGTGTAATATAGGTCTGTGCTTCAGAAATTCTCAGTAATGATCTATGTGAAATGTTTAAAGAATATTTTACAGCTGACATACTCCATTTCTTTTAATTTAAATTGTATGCAGCCACCACCACATTTGGTGGTATCAGCTGACATAAGCAGCTATGTAACATCAACCAAATGCAGTCAGACACCAAAATTATTTAATGTAAGTAATGTCTGATGAATGGTATTCTCCTCCTACCCCTCCAAGATACCTGTTTCAGTGCTCATATACAATAAATAATTGCCAGAAACACTTTGCTTCAGAAATAGCCACTCTTTCATTTAATTTAGACTGACAACAAAGCAACGTTAGGAAAACCCAAGCTGATGTCATGGTTTTCATGGCATCTTTTCGACAACAAAGCCTGGATCCAAGACCTGACCACTCACAATTTCTAAACCAGATTATAAAACCTAAATCCATGCAAACCCTTAATGGATCAGGATTTTATTTCGAGCGCTGCAAAAACTTCGGTTGTGGCCAAGTCTTATCAGCTACGGTGGCAGGCAGATTACAGGAGCTGTGCCATGGATCAGTGCGAGGCACTCCCAGCTTAAACCAATTACACACTCAGCACAAAGTTGTCAAACTCCAGACCCATGCCAAATCCTGCCGTGCCATTTCTGTAACGCTTACAAATTTTAAGGAGAATTACACTGAATGGAGAACCTGGGAAAATGTATGGTGGAAAGAGCGGAGTTTGGAAATCCAGATTTTAGTGGTGTGTAAATGAGGGATCTGCACCAACTCCAGCTTTACCACTGCAGAATCCACTGGATTTTGACCAAAAGCCCACAGTTCAAACTCCCCTGCATCTACTCACGGGCAGACAGATCTATTAAATTATTTGCCAGCTGGGAGTCATTTCTTTTACAATAAGCAGCAGAGTGAGAGGTAACTACAAAGCAATCCAGAGCTGTCCTAATTACTCCTTCCAGACAGGAAAATGTGTGATAAAATGCATGTTTTGCGATTCCCTTCCCCTTTACTCGCTTCAGCACTGTTAACCTGTAGCTTCTGATGGCCTTCCACAGTGCTCTTAAACCTGGTGAAAAACCCTGAGACAGACAATCACTGTACAATTTAAGGCACATAATTAGCAATTATTTCATGCACACTTCACAATAATAATCTGTTACGTACTGAGGGGAAAGAAACATTAATGAGCTACTTCTGGTGCCGCTCTGTGTACTGTGTTTGCATAATAATGAGGCCCAATCTGCTGGAAAACACAGAAAGGACAAATTAATAAGGTCGTCATTTTTGTCTAATGATGCTTAATACAGTTTGAGCAATCTGCTCGAGACAAAAGACGGGCACTCAGACATAGCCGATTATGCATTCGCGTGGCAGCTGAAATCTTTATTAAACAGAATGATGAATCTGATTAACATGTGATAACAAATATACAGTCTGGGAGCAGGGCCCTGGCACCTCCCGCCAGCTCCGCTCCGGCCCCTCTGAGGCTTTACTCAGATTGAGGTCAGACTGGAATTCCCGATAGGCGCATTAAGATAAAAGTTTGCCAAATGTGGTAACGTGATGAACAAAACAATATCCTGTTATATAAAAGCTACTGTCTCAACAGCTGACTGTCTAATCAGTGATAGCAACAACTCCTTAATAAGTTTAAAATTTTAATTGTGGGTTTCGTTCGCCTTTTAACATATGAAGGATGATTTAGTACATTAGCTAAGCTACATCTTAAAGCACCCCTACATTTGTGCTACCAAAATATTCTAATTCCAAAGTACTGCCTTTCTATTCCATTTCACAAACACAATTCTATTTCCCAAAAGGAATATACAATTACTTAGTGTGTTTTAAGCAATACAAAAAAAAAATAATAGTAATTTATATGCCACTGATTTCATGTTAATGGAGGTTTCTAGGTCAATGGGGAACACAGGATGCAATTGAATTTGTAAAAATGCTGCAGTAAATTTAAAAATCTAATTTTCAATAGAAATAATTGATAGAAAAGGAGATTAAAAAAATGTACATGATGCAATTTGTTAATCCCACCTTAAATTAAAGTCATGAAAATACAGCGTTGCCTCTTTAAAGAGTGACTAAATCTAGGAGTAAATAACAGCTCTTAAATCCAGGGATTCCATTTTCAGCTTGCTTTGCTGGAGCAATGTGATTTCTATTAAATGAACAATTCCTTGCCTTCCAGAACCAACTGTACTTGATTTATAGTCAGCACATGACACGAAGCAATTTAAGATGACACACGATACCTCATGACAATGAACATGATTTACCACAGGGTGGGCAGCAGTAGGAACTATAATGTTGATTTTATCTCCACAAATATATTGCTCAGGAACAGCAGGAGCTTGGATTCAAGAGTATAGAACTGGGAGCTAAGACTGACTGAATCACAGCTTCTTCACTTTAATGCATCTGTGTTTGCTCTGGTGAATGATAGCACATCATAAATCATCATTTTCAACTCCTTGGACTCATTCTGTGTGCCTTCATTTACATGAATATATTCCCAATTACAAGACAACAACAGCCAGTGGATTTAAAGCAAGGAGGTGATAAAATTAAAGCTGTATTTACCTCTAGCATCATTCATCCTCAGTCCATCCTACCTTTGTAAATAAATATCTTTATTTTCACACACAAAGTAAAAAATAAAAAAAAATAAAAGATAGTGGTTTCCTTTCCTCACCCCCTCAAATCCCACACTCAAGTCACCTGGCACATTAATCTACCCCTAAGACATGGTTAGATCCAAAGCAGAGATGGACAATGGTTTCCCAGCTCTGTGGAACATGATGGGATATTTTTTCCCCCCAAGCTTCTCCTTTAACAAAGCCATACATTAAGAGATTAGAAGTGTTTCTCCCAAAGCCACGAGCTCTCACAATGACTCCCCAAAGCCAGAAGTGGGGAGGTTTTGCCTCTTGGAGGTCTACAAGGTTCTGAGGTTCCTTTCTAGTGGGTAGAGAAAGAGTAACAGGGAAGAATGGGAATGAAGAAACTCATTCAGCAAATCTGCAGGAGTTAACAGAGTATTTTTAGCTAAAAATACCCAGAAGTTCAATCTGCAGGTGGGCTGAGAAGAAAACACTGGTTTGTTTTACATTTTTAAACTAAACCCAGTTGATCCCACATTTAGAGCTGATGGGATGGAAGAGCCACAAAAAGTTCAGAAGATAAAAAATCAATTCATTCTACGTCCGAGGATCCCCTTATTTCATATTCTGCCACTATAAATTCCCTCAGTGCAACATTTCATTATGTTTGATACAAAATGAATGATGCTAGAAATGCCATGAAATCTTCGTGGTGGCATTTGAAATCCCAAAATTCATGGCAAATAATGTTTCACAAACCTTGTCCCATCACCACACTGTCACACTCTGCATTTCAAACAGCTTGGGCAGCTGATAATGACACACACAGGCCAAAACATGAGGATCATATTCGGCTTTTGGCAAAGATTCAGTCTCAAAAATCTCTCATTAAATCCAACTGTATTTATATCTTGGAATAAATGAAGGAAAATGCAGGGAAGGCAGAGGTGTCCTGGGCTTACCTGCACAGATCACTCAGGATGGAGCCTCACCCTCCACTTTTAAGAGAAAAATACAGAGTTTTGTCATCCAAATTTCAAAGGGTCCTATTGAGAATTCAGTTTGCTCACACTGAAATACAATACCTATAAATAAATTTCTTCCTGTTGACTCCATTAAACCGTGTCCATGTTCATCCTTCAGGGGCTGATTAACTTCTTTTTTTTAGTGCCAAAACTAACATAAAACTACATGTTTGAAAATTCAAGTCTACAGCACTTGTGTAAATATGTTTTGTTCTGGTTTTCCTTTCATGAAAGACATGGATGGCTGCTATTTCCCTATTCCTTTTCAGATGTAATACTACAGACATTGCAACAAATTAGGTATAGACAAATACATTCAGTGACCTGAACTCAGTTCTTAACTATAATTTTAAATCTGTGTGGTAGAAATCAGATAAATCATATGAAATTATCTAGATGAATATCCATTCTCCCTTTTACAAAAACAGTATTTTAATATTTCCTGTACAAACCATTCCATGATCATTTTCTTATACAAAATAAACTGATCTGACTTACCCATGACTGCACTTTATTACTGAAATGAGTAACCTCAGCTCCTATCAAAGGGCTTGGAGAAATGGACTGAAGGACACAGCTCCTGCACTGCAAGTAACTTGTCAGAGAAGATTCCTTCTCATTCCAAATTGCATTTAAAGATAGACTGCCAGTGAGGTCTTTCAAAAAGAAAGAAATAAAAAGAAGTTTATAGCGGAATCAAGAGAGATTTTTGAAAGAGATAGAAGTAATTTTATCAGTTGCATTTCACATTTCAAAATGTCAGAAAGAAGGTAAGGAATGCTCAGTAATCCCTCCTAAAAATGAGTCTTTGTGGCAAGAATCACATCTCATTAACTGTGCCATCCTAGCACCACTGTGGGAGCAGCAGAATTGCCCACACATGAAATAAAATACTTTTTGGTCTCCATCACCTGAAGGTGACACAAAGGGCTGCACATTGGAACAATTTCCTTTCCAAACACAGCACTTCTGCTTCAACCACAGCCAATTCATGGATTTTAACTTGTGAGAAATGGAAAAGATTCTGCTCTCATTATCTTTTTTTTTTTAATTCTTCATCAGGATATTATGAAAGGACCCAACAAATCTGGGAGTGCAGGGGACACTGGAGCTCATCTTCAGTGTTTGCTAAACCTGCAGAGCTTTGAGGAAGGAAAATCTCACCACGAGCTTCCCAAAAGGTCCAAGGGAGGGGTGTCAGTGCTGTGAATGGTATTTAATTAAATTTAATTTAATTTAATGCAAAAGGGCTTGACAAATGCTAGCTGGTATTTATCAGTAAGAATTTACCTTTCATTGGCATCTGATAAACCTTCAGAGTTTCTTTAAGGTGACCAAGACTTGCAGCATCTGAGATGACCAACATCACATTATCATCTTCTGAAATGGCCTCTAGTTTACACTTACAATTATTAATGGATTCTTTACGTCTTATATTGGCATTTCTGAAGAGTTTCCAGATTATTTGCAGCTCACTATTACTGTAGTTAGCTTTTCTCAAAATTCCTATAATTTAAAAAGTGGGGTGTAAGACTTATATACACACATGGTTTTGAATACAGTACTGTTCAGCCATGCTGCAAACTTTCCACATTTACAAGATGGGAATTTAGGCCCTGATCCAATACCCACTGCAGGCACTGAAAAGACTTCTATTGCTGTAAATGGCCCTTGGAAGAAGGCCTTATTTAAAATTTTTAATGTGTCCAAAATTTACTTTTCAACAGATAATTTTCCCCTTGTTATTACTCCCAAATCGACCAGTGAGCTTGAATCCACTTTGAATAAAGTCATTTATTTTTCATTTTCAGATTTTTTAACTTTCCTCAATCAACTGGCATCTGAGATTCAGTTTAAACAACATAAAACTTCTTGCTGACAACAGCCACCCTGGTAAGTGCAGACATTCCTGTACCTCAGAATGCTTTTCCTGAGCACTGTGGTGCCATTTCACAGGTTCTGCACCAGGGATATGATGATCCTGATATATCCTGATTCATGGAGTGAATGAATGGCTCCTGATGAGATTACCCAAATCTTAAAGGTTCTTTTGGGAAAACAGGGAGGCAAGAAGTTCCTCCATGACCTGGGCCTGCTCAGTGTGGAATTTTCTAGCTGGCCTAGTTTTAATAGGTACAGAATGTGGAATAGTTCCCATTCTCCCTCAAGCACAGGTTTGGTTTGCTGAAGAGATTTGTCCTTTTTTGGTTTCATTTGATCCAAATTGTTAGAGCATGAAGCATCTCTAATTGTTTCTGCATGTAACTGATGAGAACATCTTGTAATTAGGTCATTATCACACATGGCCCAGTGGCCTGAAGATGAAGCTTATTTTTAAAAAATAGAGTCACTGTTACTCTTATCAGCCTTTAGACATTCCCAAATTAAAGTGTCTCAAAAAACCACAAGGAATTTCCAAAAGCAGCTCATCCCCACTTTGTACAGTGTGTCTAAAACCAGACTAAAACCAAATTAATACAAGGTAGGTTACACATTGAAGAATAGCAGTGTAATTATCTGGATTTTCAGTCAGACTTTTGATAGTTCATGCAAACATGCACTGGATTCACTGAGTTACTGTGCCAAGGTATTACCAAACTTCTCACAGCAACTGGTAGCAAATTAACACCTAATCCTGAGGAGGAACAAACCTCAATGAATGGGCCACTATGCTCCAAATAATTCCTTCCAGCCTCCCATAATGGCAGAAGTTGCCTCCAGTTAACTCTCAAATACCAGATGAAGCTCAAGACAGGTCAGTGTGGCAGCACCACTGAATCAAGAAAACTGCCAGAAAAAGTAACATTTTAAACAATTGTTCTTGCCATAACTCCCTTCCCTCAAAGGCTTTGTGCAGGTCTCATAACTCATTATCCAGATACCAAATCCAGTGCAGAAATGAACCAATTATTCTAAAACATCCCTCCAGCATCCAAAACTGAGAAAGTCAAAGGGTGGATCAGAAATCCCATCCTTCCCAATGAAACAACTGATCTTACCCTGTGCTTTGGGCAGGATTTCAGCTCCACAGACAACACAATAAAGTCCTTTCCTGCAAGGCTGGTTGTGTGTTTCCTTCTAACAAGGCAATGCACAAATGTATGTAAATTCTGGTTTGCACATAGTAACTATACAGATTGAAGCATTCAAATATAAATAAAATTAAATCTATCAAAACTGCTTCAGAGAAATACAGTACTTGAAATACTCAAAGGAGTCTGAGTGGATGTTTATAATTTCTATTAGTTAATAATTCAATATACACCATGCTAAAAATGCTTAACCTTACTTAAATAGAAGCACTGTCATATAAAACATGAGGGATTTTACAGCCTATAACACTGCAGGCTATCAATTTGTTGGGAATTCTGCAAAGGAGCCTGGGATGGTTGGTTGGTGCCTTTGTGTTTCCCATGAGAAACAAAGGTATCTATTGAGTGTGTAAATCAGAGCTCTGCACATCAGGAAGAAACTATTTCATTGTATTATTTCACTTGAGAAATGCTATAATAAATGATTTTTAATTCCCTTGCACCTTAACACTCAGCAGCCACTCAGAACAGGTATTTAATCCATGGATGTGATACCTTTCTCTCTCGGGAGGAGCCGCTTTGCCTAAAGGCAGCTTTCCTTCTGCTGCATCTCCTCCGAACTTTCAACCCTTGAATAAATTCAAGATTCTGTTATTATTTTAGGCAATAGAGATTACACTGAGCTATTATATCAAAGTAGGGAAAGCATTTTCAATATTTTAACCTTGACAGGTGTGATAAATCCAAACAAATAATTCTAAGAAATTCGGTATATTGACTTCACTTCCCTTCTATCTGCAGGCTGGGTAGCATTTAATTCTGAGAACTACCATAAATATATCATCTCTAGAGAATATTCTTACCTCTAAAATATCAAATAACACAGTTATTAAATATAAAGAGAAATTAAGAATTAATTTACACCAAAAGAAACAGTCTACCCCTTACCTTCCAAACCCAGCAGAACACAAAGGGGTTTTATCCACCTGTTGAGTTTTTAGAGGACAGAAATTTTTTCAAGAAATCATAGTATCTAGTGTTGATGTTTCAATAGATATCTTGGAAATAATGGTTAGTTTGATAAAAAGTTTAAATGAGTGTGATTTGACACAGAGCAGGCCTTGCCTTCAAGGATCTCTGATCAAAGGAAGAGGCACCACAAGCTCAAGAAAGGAACAATCTGCTCCAGATAAGGAAAAGGAGATGGATTTTCTTCTTTTTTTTTTTTGAATGTTATGGATTTAAAGACAGACAAATCTCCTGAAAGACAAATAAGAGGCTGTGGGCCACTGGATGAGCAGACAAGTCACAAAGCTTAAGTGATTTCTGTTATCTGTTTAGACACACAAAAATGCACAAAGTGGTTTGCTGCAGATTTGCTTTAGGAAAACTGAGGATCAAGACTCCTGAGGATCAAGCCAGTGGATTCTGGGGAACATGGCTGCAAAACTCCTGCCAGGACAGCTCTAGAGGCCAGGTACCAACACTAACCAGCATTATTCAAATAGATATTAAGAATATTTCTCTTTAGATTTGTCAGAGGTTTTCAATACTGGGATTTCTGCCATATCAACTAAATTAAATGTTGATAATCCAAAGTGAAAACCAGGAAATCTAAACCAAGGAAATTTGATCATCAGTATTGCAAAAATTGAACCAAAAGCCTTATGCCAAATGCTGCCAGTTAAAAAAAATCAAGTGTTCTTCCCATTCTTGCAAACAGTGTCCAGTTTCATAAAGATGAATTTGTTGTGTAAAGAAAGGGCACAATTTAAATCCTATTGATATGAGCATGTTCAAGGTCTGAAGAGGTGGATTCAAAATGTTATTTAAATGAACTTTTATGGAAAATGACCAGTTAATAATTTCATTTCTACTCTTGAAAAAAAAAATATCAATACCTATGAAGCAATCTTCAGATTGCAAAGATCCTTCATCTTCATATGAATGTAGGATGGCAATGAACAATTTTTTCTTGAAAAGTCAATATGTTTTATTACAGAAAAATCCTGGCTATTTGCAATGTAATAAATGAAAGAAACATTAAAATACTTTAAAAAAAATAGACTGGGCAAGATTCAAAGACCTTTGTAGACAATTCACATTTCATATGTTACATGTAAAAAGTGCTCGTAGGAGATACAAATGAGAACAGGTTTTGACAGGAATAAACACAGAATCCAAAAGAAATGAGATCCTCCCACAAAAGGAAGATTTAAAGAAACCTCAAATTTTTTTCTGAAGAAACTTCTCATCTTCATCAAATATCATAATGTGCAAAGCTCCTGCTGGACATTTTGATGTAAGAAATTGGAAGGAATCAAAGTACTGGAGAATGCACCTGTTTTGGTATTTAGGCTCAATCTATCTATGACTTGATCTGCAAAGATACTCTTTTAATATGTTTTCCAAAAAAGACACACAATCTAACAAATGCAGAAAACCATAATTTGGTTCTATGGGTATTGTGCTTTCTGAGGAAAAACCCAATTATTTGACTGTATTTAATGGTGCATTAATTAAATCTGTAATGGAGAAACCAATAATTCCAAGTCAGATCCTACTTGTGTTTCTATTTAGAATTTCCATGCATGATGTCCTTTAGCCAAGAAGTCAGGATGAAGAATCTTCATTCTATCTCTAGAAAACTGCATATTGCAAAATTTTCCCAGTGAAAACCCCAAAAATATAATGAGAAACTGAGGGAATAATAATAATATTGAGGGAATAATAATAAACTGAGGGAATAAAATGAACCTGAGGGAAGCTTTTGTTCCATAAGGACAAGAAAAGTGTAGCTGCCCTGTGGTGTTTTGAGGGCTGCTCACCAAAATTCTCACAGAAACTGTCAGCAGGTGCCACTATTGCCCAGTGGAAAGGATGACACACCTTTATTTCGGGATCTGGAAAGGCTGATTTTCCTTTTAGGGGTGTCCATCTCCTGAGATCCTCCCTGCTCTGCTCCTGCTGCAGCTGCCACCTCTACATCATCAACTACACTGTCCCTGCTCCTCACATTTTCCATAATTCCATGGGGACTTCTGCCAGCCTCAGCTTTGTCAGTCACATTCTGTGTTTCTGAGGTGTTGGTAGCAAAAAGATCAGCAGGGACTGTGGAGTTCCCATATTCCACCCAATTCCCAGTGGTACAACAGGCTGGAAGTGGGGCTTCAGTTCCCTGTTTCTCTGGATCTGCATCATCATAGAGCTCTGGGGTGAAGTAAATGCTTTCATCCTCATCCTCATCCACATTTAATGCTGAAGGCTCAGCTCTCCCTGCTGCTGAAGGAAACTCCCTGCAGGGCTCAGCTGGAAGCTGGAGCTTACCAGGATGTCCCTCAACACCTGAAGTCTCAGCATTTTTAACTGAAAAATGAGTTGTGTCCAAACATGATTCTGGTCCACTTGGTTGATGTTCTGCAATTGATGATGATTGGCATTGATTTAAATGATCAATAATGTCACTAGGCCCATTCACATGCTCCTGTCTGCTGCTTGTTGTGGCCCTGCAGTTTTTGGCTACAGGAGTTGAAGTCAGTGGTTCAGAGCAGCAATTCTCTCCCACAGTATCAGCATTGGTCCAACCATTCATTTTTTCTGTCTCTATTTTAATTGCTGGAATTTTGGGGGTGTTGTCCATATGTTTCCTTCTCTGTTTTTCATGGTGAGAATGGCTCTCTACATCCACTTCCTGGTCACCTGTGAAAAACCACAAAACATAAATGAATTGTATCTGATTTACAGCATGTTTAGCATATCAGAATTACCACTGTTTTAGAATGTTTACAGTGATTTTACAACATTCATTAAAAACAATATTACAAACAAAAGCCCAGATATTATAACTAACTTTGCACATGAATTGTCTTAATTAAATTAATAGATTAACAAGTACATAAAGGTAGAGTATGACTGGATTTGAAATCTTTCATTATTGTGCTCTTATCTTATTCACCTCTTTCTCGACTGAAATGAAATCAGAACCTTTCCTAAAATTTAGGGATGGATTTTACTTGTGAAGCTGGAACTAGAGGAGATCACATGGAAGGTGTCACACAGCAATGTCTAAACAACAGATGTAGCTTAAACCAGGGCTAAACTTGCAGTAATGCTAATCTTGATGTGTTTCAAATATATTTTAAATTATCTTCATAGTATCCAATGGAAAAAGAAATTAAAAGGAAAACATTTTGATTGTACTATAAACTTATCAAAGATTATTCTTTTAACACAACCAGATGGAACAAGAATTAATTTCAGTCTGTTGAGCACAGCTCCTCCACATTTGTGAATAATTATCATTTTCCACTATAGCACTTCTGTAATTTTAAAAAACATTTGTTCCTTCCAAAAAAGATGCAACTCCCCATTTGAAATCGCCAGTGGAAATGAACATACTTTGTTTCACTGCTGCCATGCTGTCACTTGGCTGATCCCATGCTGTGGGATGAACTGAGCTGATGGTTGCAGTAAAATGAACTGAGCCCAAATTTTCCTCCTGACTTTTAGCAGGAACATCTGGGGACAGAGGAAGGGTGGCCTCTTGTTGAGAGCCTTGTGAGAGGTCCCTGGAATGTGCAGGGAATTCAGTGCTGTGCTCTGAGGAGGGATCCCCACCCCTCTGGTTCCTGAGGGCGAAGGCGTGCAGGGATTCCAGAGCGCTGCCGAAACTGCCGTGGTGCTGGATCCGCTGCCGGATCCACTTGGATAATCCTGGGGGAAAAGAAATATCTTACTGCATAAAAACAGCATCTCTATCAGGTATTTCACATCAGTAAACAGCACTTAAGAGTGCAAATATTTCTGTGTATGTATAGTCTCAAAGATTTCAAGAATTTGCTCATGAAGCAACAACAATTTCCTCCTTTCCAGGGTTGGGAACTTGATTTATTCAATGGCAGTATTCTGATAGGCAAACTAAAAATATTCTTCTTTTTCTATGAAAAGCCTTTCTCTTTTTCACTACTCTTCTTTTTAGGTTCAAACTGCTGCCTTGCATAAACATCATTATATTTTTTTGATGCCTGGGTGTTCATTCTGCTTGTTATCATGAATTATTTAAAAGCAGTTTGCACAGAGTGCAGCTATTTATTGTATTAACAAGAGTGATAAAAATTTGAATATAATGAAACTTTTTACAACTTTGTCTCAGATTAAGTAACAGTAACTCAGAAAGAATCACAACTGTTCTACAACTACAGGTTTTACTATAACATCCTATCAAAATAACATTTCAAATTCTTAAATATCAGATGTCTTGAGCATAACAGCTTTTTACATGATAATGGAACACAGAGGTCAAGTAAAAACTGACTGCATCGATTTTAGAAAGTATTTTTGAAGCCATTTCACTATTCTTTGAATATTAATTTTTCAAAAAACCAAAAAACCAAAACCCCAAACCCACAACAACAGAGAACTTCACTCTTCTGTGAAGTTTTACTTTTCAGAGAAAGAAATTTTACCAAGTCTTGAACATATGGATTATTTGTGCTCCTGTATGAATTTCCTGTGTTTACTTCAATAATTTTGATGTATTTTTAGTACAAGCCCCTCAGAGAAGAAGCTGGACTCAACTGCAGCAGCTGAGCTCCACCTGCTGACCAAGCCCAGCATGGGCTTGTGAGCTCAGCTCTGCCCAGCAAAAAGGGCAGGAACAAAGGTAAAAACACATTCCTTAGCAGTTTATTTTCTAATTTTTATGTTTTTAAAGGTTGTGCATAGAATCTGGTTTATTTCATCTGCATTTATTTCTACCCAGTATAAAACTGAAAAACAGAAAGCCCTTGTATATTGAATATCCAGCAGTTCAATCTCTATTCCATGGTTGTGGAACATTCTGACCCTTCCTACTCACCTGTATTTGTACAACCACATTTCTGTAATTCAGAGTTTTCAGTATTTCTCAACATTAGGAAGTTTCCCCAAAAGATTTTTACCTCTTACCAGTTATGTATTTATTTGGGTTATTCCTGAAGCGGTCGTCAACTAAAATTAGAGCCCCCCAGTCATTCCTGTGCCTTATACACCTAAAAGTGAGGGGGAAAAAAAGAGTGTTTATGTAATTAGAGGGCATCCAGCAAAAATCTGTGGGAATTAGAAAACAGGGATTGCTCTGGGTCAGTTAGAATATGGAAAATGATATAAGTCCTCTTCTACTGTATGCACCAAAAATTGTTATGGATGTCACAGAAGCTTCATTTTCCTTCAGCTGTTGAATTTACATGAAAACAGCTCAATGAAAAATAAAATACACAAATATTCAACAGCCAATCAAACCACATCATTGGTTTTCCACTCTTAACTGGGCAGTGTAAATATTATAGAGCTTCCTGCCAGCTTACTGGAATATTCTGGTTTTATCAAAATCCTTCCCCACATCTCAGGTTAGCAAAGGCTTTGGCTCATGTATTTATAAGGAGTTTGTACCTTTATGTTAGAATGGAAGCTTATTTTCTCCATTTAAGTTTAGACCATCCAAATGATAAATTAAACAATAAGTAATTGTCACTAAAACTTAAGTTCAGCTTCACAGTTATTATTTCTCTATTGGTATTCCACAACTGAGTTTTCTTAACCTATTTCAATTAATGCTTTTCTATTCCAAAGAGGTATTTAAGAAATCAGGCATGTAACAACAAAAATCCACAATGAGATTTCCTAATATTACAATTTCTCTCAATTTTCTCTCCAGGCCTTCATTTATGTCATTGCATTTGCATTAGACTAATTCAAATAACAACATTTTTCCAGCCAATGTTTCTGTGGCTCTGCATCCATGACAGATGCACAACACCCATGATAGATGTGGATGGCAGCTCTAATCTTTATTGATATGATAAATTTTGTTGAAGGAGGATGAATTAATTCTACCCTGTTAATAACATTTGAGGGAATTTTTCCATCTAGGAAAGGGAAGCTATACCACTTCTTCTAAATCTGGGAAGAGATCAGTGAGCACAATAATTGAATTGACCTTTTGCAAAGGTCTGAAAAACCCCACTGCTATTTCTCCCTTTCAAAAATAGTTGTAGGCTAAGCATCAAACAATTGTTCTGAGCCCACTGAGAGTGTGAACAATTAGAACATTGGAAAAGTCCTAAGGATCTTCATTTGCTTTAAAGCTCAAGAACTATTTGTTTCTGCTTATGCTTTTTTTCTCCCCTCCTGTTATGGAGGATATATATATATGTATATTTATTGCTCATATGGACTATGAGCAATAAAACTTCAACTAAATTGAAGTGGGTTCTGAATGCAAAACAGAACCTCTGAATTATAACAATGCTCAAGTGCACAACAGGCTGAAAAGCAGAGAGTTGCCAGCACAGAGCACCTCAAGAGACAAAATTTGCAATATGAGAGGTTTGGTCTTACTTACCCCTTTGTCCTAAAAGTGGGGAATAAATCCTTAAAGATCTCCCTAAAAAAAGTTCTGCAAATTTATATAGTTTTAGTTGTGTTTATCTCACCTTCCCAGGGCTTGGTTGAGAGCTCTGTAAGCTTGAATTTCATACCACTGACTTCCTGATAAAAGGCCTCTTGTACTTTTGTGCTGGTCATTGTATTTCCTCTTTAATTCAACCTAAGAAAGAAACCAGAAAATATTTGGTTTATTAATGTTGTTGAAAAGGAGATAGTCTAAAAGGTCTGTATTTTGTACACTAACCAATCCTGGCTTCTAAAACTGCCCTTAGCTGTGATCTGTTCCAATAATTTAAATGTATTGACATGAGCACCACACACTCATCCAAATCTCTCCCAGTAAGAGAAGGATAAACTGTTCAGAGAGGTGTAAAAACCCCAAACCAGGTACAGGTAGGACCCCAAACCCCAGATTTACTGGCTCTTCCAGAAGGAAATTCCCCACTGGAGCTCTCCATCCTTCCCTTTATCACAAAACCCATTTCAGAGCTGGGACCAGACCTTGCTTTTCCCAAGTGAGAGTTAAGCAAATCCAACTTTTCTTCCTCTACAGAAGCTGCAAAAGAGCTTTAGAGACAGAGGGGCCTCTCCCAAGGACCAGGAGTCAGCAATACCAAGCAAAATTCCCAGCTTGGCATCACCTCTTGACGTTTGGAAATGTTTCACTGGAGAGCATGGGGACATCAGGCAGGGAAAAACACGTTCCCCTTTCTGAAAAAAACATCCCTGATGCTTCAAAATCTGGAATGAACTGCCCAAGAAATGCCCTGCCTCCCCTTCCCAACCACATGAACAACCACACACAATTCCTGAATTGGAACAATTTGCATTACAACATTATTTATAACGAAAGGATTTATTATTACTATTCAGTTAGGAGCACTGAATTTCTTTTTTTTAAAACAAGCATAAAACTACACCAAAAAGAGTCTTTTTGTTGCTCTTTTGTACAGTATTAACCTTTCTAAACTGACAAGTGAAAGGACACGCTTCAGGAGAGAAAACAGCAGACTTCTAACCTCTTCTGACAGGTAACTTTCAAGTTGCATTTGGATAAGAAATTTTATTTTATGTACTTATGCCCTTTAAATTGCCTGTCAAATTTACAAATTCAATCTTTACAGCCAGAAAGTAAATTCGGTTTGATTTCACAGATTTAATATTTGTTCCAGTCACTCAGAATTTACTGACTGGCATGTGAGGTTTCCTTTGTTATTTTCCAAACAGAAGTTGATTTCTTCTGAATGGTTTATGAACATTAAATCATTCCTTGAAAAAGAACTTGGCTTTATCTGTGCATTTCTACAAACTGAAATCCTACCTGGAGAAAGAAAAGGGTACTGCTCACCTTTGGAAATGAGGAATGATGTTGGAAAAGTTCACTGAAGCCTTTAAAACATAACCATTGACAATATACTCCTGTGTGTGTTAGTTATGCACTTGTCTTCTAGTCCTGGTCAGTTTTATAACAATTTACTGTTTGAAGAATTTTGTTATCAGTGAGAGTTTTTGTTATCAGTGATTATTTGGAACAAATGGAGGTTTACCAGTCCCTTACTTTGCCAGCAGACAGTGTAAACAGTGTTACAACAACTAGTCCTGTGTCTTAAGCTGAAAAATGACATTATTTTTAAATATGTGCATAAACTCATTGAAGTAGCAGTAAAATGCAAACCAGTCAAATTATCTAAATAAAATACATTACTTCCACATTCTTCTAACACATGTCAGTGTTATCAAGTTTATTGCTTGTATGCAAAGCACCAATGATATTTCATTGCTCAAATCATATAAACCCCATTTTTTAATATAAAACCCCATGAGTTTGGTGAGGTTTTTAACCCCAATCCCTTGCTCTAAATGTGTAACATATCTCTAAAACTTCCTGCTATTAATTTTAAAAGGGTTACCAGAAAATAACCATTCTGTTTTCTCCCTGCAGTGCTCCTGCCTCAGCAGAGATGATGCCAAGCCGCATTGCTGCGAGTTCAGTTTGCAGGGGGAGGCTGCTGCAGGTAAAAGGCCAGGGCCTGTCATTTTAATGCAATCAGAATCTATTTCATTGTGGAACTGCTGCGTTCCCCCCCATCAATTCCACGCCAGATTCAAGCTGACATGTTACATATGTGAAAAAGCCAGTGCCTCCTGCTAGCAAATATCCACAATGTGCAGGAAAGCACAGGCTAGAAGGGATTAGTTAAAATGTCAAAAGACAGCCTTTTACTTTTACCTGTTCATCCTTAAAAACATCCTCCCAGCTCTGGGGCAGGATTTGCAGACAAAGAGCTGCACAAGGCCCCTGGCAAGCTCTGCCATCCTGTAGCTGTCACCCAGATTAGGCTTTGATCTGTCTGGGAGGTCACGGGCACAGCCACGTTCACTCAAATCTCCCCACATTCCACCTGCAAACCTCTCCTGCTTTTAATGCTTAATTAGTTCGACATCTTTCACTCTGCAATATTAACTGGGAAACAGCAGCAAAAAAATATAAATGCCATGAACAATTTCTTTTTTTTTTTTAAAAGGCTTGGAAAGATACTTGGAGGCAGTTTGTGCTACAACTCAAGTGTATTTTTCAAACAGAATTAGCAATAGAGGTTTTTCTCCAATGACAACAACATTAAATGACATTTGTTACATGAGATTTTAAAGTTAGTTACCTGTGGTGATATTCCTTCACGTGAAGAAACTCAAGACTTATTCAGGATATAAACTGATTTATACTGTGCTGACCGTGGATTATAGGAGTTATTTCATGGCACAGAGCTGAGATCAGGAACTAAAAAACTACAGCTTGGTTTTGACCCCCAAAATAATCTGCAAATTCACACACAGAACCTGCAGCCTTTTAGCAGCACACCAGGCTGAACCAGGTTTATTCAGAATGAACAAACAGTATTTAACAGCAAAGTATACAAATATCAATCTATTATGGACTAATTATTTCAAAAGAAAAATCATTCAGAATACATTTAAACTGATTTATCACTGCCAGTACCATGACACGAAGGTAGAATGGGCTAAGCCCATTTGTTTACTTTGGGCAATTTAAATCAGCACATTGACACATGAACTGTGTTTGGTTTTACTTCATTGGCAAAGTGTTGAGGAGTATTTTTAATGCATTACTTCACTGAACCAAATGCAAACTTTGCTTTTTAAGAACAAACACAAATAACAGTTTAGAATCTTTAAACAAGTCAGGCCTGTTCTTTGATAGATACGACCTCACAAACATCTCCAACTGCCTCCTATTTGTTCAGGTAGGTTAAGGGAAGAGAAAACAGCTGGAAAAGGCCAATAAAGCTGGGCCTGTGTCACTGCAGGGACAGGTGGAGGTGGCACATCCACACCTGGATCAGCTCGTGCCCTTCCCTCCCCAACACTCTCCTCTGTGGAAAGAAAAACCAGAAAATGGATTGAAATGTTTTCTGCCATTCCACTAACTTGTTTCTCTGGTTTTATGAGGGGAAAAATAGTAATGAAAACAAAGACCATTGCTCACATCATCCAAAAAAATTCTTTTACAGACACATTCATGTTTAACATCTACTAATTCCCCACATCTTAAAAACAAACAAGCAGAAAAAGTACCAGGTGGTCACTCCCCGCTTCCATCCCCAAAAAGACATAAAAATGTTTTTAAAGCAAATCTCCCGTCCTAAAAATCTCATGTGTCCACTTAGAGTCTCTCTTCCACCTGAAATAGCAATAATTAGGATTTTTCAGGAACGCGCTTGCCATCTACTTTCCTCCTGATGAATGCCAAGGAACCATAAAAGTTTGTGAGCGCAGGAAAGTTAAGACATGAAAACCCATTTCTTTTCCTTTACATCTGAAAATTCTTAAATAGAAGCAGCATTGAGCAGTGCAGCATTTCACTCACTTCAAAAGCAGTAACAAGGGCTGGGAGGTTTAAGACAAATAATGCACATGTAAAGTGCAAAATAATGCACTGGGTGAGTCATAGAACAAGCTTCAAACATCCTCACCCCTCACAGACCCACTCAAAGCCGTGTCTAAACACAATATTTCCATTTATTAGCCCACAGGAAAAAGATATTCTGGCAGGATTTTGTCTTCAAATGTTCCAAGCATTCCAAGTGCAGTGTTAATACATAAATAGTATGGAATAAGAAAATGCTTATTAGCTGATTTTTACCAAACTAGATTCTGTTGATCACAATAATTTATTAATGTAATTCTAATGAATTCATATGACTAAATAAGGTGACTAGACACCAATATAACACTTATTTTCACACATAAATACTGAATTTCCTTATAAAAAGGAACAACCCCCTCCTGCGAATGAGACATGATCAATATTTGTACTGCTCAATTATAATCAGGATGCTGTTACACAGAAATTGCTCAGGTGACCTTTTCTGCCTGAAAATTTCTATGTGCACTTATCAAAATTGCCTTCCTTGGATAACACTGAATTAAAAAAGGAAGCAATCCAGATCTCAGACTTGCTCTGTCTCACAGGGGACATAGAAAGATATAGGGATTGAACAGCACAATGTGAATGCAGATATAATCAAAACTAGAGAGTTACTGAGATAGAAAAAATGGCATAAAAGTGGCAAATAAACCACAGAAGGAAAAACACTGCTGGCTTGTTTCCCTATGACCCAAAAGCTTAAATATGATATGGCTTCAAGGTAAAGGCAAATAAGCCAAAGTGCCACCTCCAGGGCAGCCAAGCAGCACCTCCTGCTTGTGCAGAGCTCAATTCCTCTCATCCTGAACTCACCATGTATCTCATAGCCAAATCCCTCCCAGTATTCCCAGTCTGAGAGAGATGGGGAGCTTATGGAATGTTGCAAGCACTCAACACTTTCAGTGTTGTCAGCCCACCCTGTGGTATGCCCAGAGCTCGTGGCACATTCACCCCAAGCCCATTGACTCATCTCAGCCTCGCAGGCTTCCAGCCACCGCCAACAAGTGACCTGATTAAAACCTAACGCAACCAAAACTCTGCTCTGAAGAGAAAATTCAATCCATTTCCAGTGCAGCAGAAGTGAAAGAAATCCAGGAGGTTCCCTTGAGGTCCAAGAGCGGTGCCGGGGCTCCGGTGCCACAGCCGAGGGGAGCGCGAGTGTCACTCATCCCCACGGTGAGAGCTTCACTCTCAGAGCTTCTGACAGCACAGCACAAAGCTAAAGGTCACCACTGCTTGCTAAGGACAAGATAAGCACAAGAAAATCACTTGGAAATTTTATGGGTCAGAAAAGTGAACTGTTAAAAGTTTTGATTTGCTGGATTATTTCACTTTGGGATATATTCAGGGCTGGTTTTGTGATCTGGGCTAACATAGTGACACTGGCCTGGCACCAGCAGGACAGAAATGCCAAAATTCCATCCTCCTGTCTCACCTGTCTCACTGAACTCCCAAATTCCCATTCCCAGCCACTGGAACTCTGTGTTCCACACAACCTTACAGCTGCTCCCACAAATTCAGCTGCTCAGATTTTGTTTCCTTAATTAACACCATTTCTGTTGGATGCAAGAAGGGTGTGGATGGCTTGGATTGTTTCTGATCATGGTTATTTGTGGAAAACTTGGAAGAAAAAGGCTTTTGGGGTATCTCAGTGCCACCACAGCACCCGTGAAAGTTCCAGAAATGGTTTTCTGCTCCCCATTTTTTTGGAATTTTTCCCTCACAGGACTAGAATAAAGAAGAAATCAAAAGTCTTCTATTCCTAAAAGATTTTTAACATCACAGGGAATTTTCTACTAAGTACAACACAACAATGACCTCCCCATAAAATGTCCTTTTCTCTACTGGTTTTGCCCTTATTTCTTTATTAATAAGTGAAAAAATTAAGTGATGAAATTAATACAATGCAAAGGATATTTCCCAGCTCTGGTTAAGCATTATAATTTCAATTAAATTAAATGTTAAAATAACAATACTTTACTTAGAAATCTTGCTTTTCCTAGAATATGGTAAATAAGAAATGAATTTTTTCAGCAATCACTTACTTAGCACAAGATTCTTTCTCCTTTCAAGGGACACAAAACATATAGGCTTAAAAACTGCCACAAGGACCAGAAATTCAATATTGAAACACATCATTATTCTGAGATGATAGAAATATCTCAGTTTGCTGAACTAGGAAAAGAAGAAACTTCAGCCAAAGAACTGCAAAATTTTTGTATCATTAAGTTACATAAAGCCCAGAAAATTGTAATTGAAGTGATGATTTCCTTTGTGCTACAAGTCATGATACTGGAAACAATAAATGAAATATTCCCCCTATGGCAGCTACGGGAAATAATTCCCATTAAAGGCAAACTTGAGCAATGCCCCTGCTCAGAGCTCGCAGCCTTATCGAGTTTATTTGCCTTGCACATCTGCTGATGTGAAAGAGTTTGACTTTTTGTATTTTCTGCTGTATTTTGGTCAAGTTCTGCTGGCTGTTCCATGATTAATTCACTCTTCTGTAGCAGGATCAAAAGCATCTGGAGGGGTGGAAGTGCAGAAATGCTCTCTGGGCAGGGGAGCTCAGTGCCTGCACTTCAGAGCTGCCCATTATCAACATTTTGGAGTGAGCTCTTTATTTTCAGCTCCCCAAGGTAAGAACAGTAAATTATTACTTGAACTAAACAAGTCACACTTGGCTCCAAAATCAGATTTTCCTACCTCTACTTTCAGGTCCCAGAGGCAGGCAGAGGAAATCCTGGTCACAGCCAAAGAAGTCGTTTTTGGCTCTGAAATAAATTTTCCTGCTTTACTCGAGCCAAACCCTACCATTGAGAGCACCAGAGCTTTGAGCAATCCTTGAACATTTCTTTTATATTATTTTGTTTTAGCAACCTGATTCTTCAGCAATATGAAACCCTTTGCAATAACACAGAATTAGGGGGTTGGCCTCTTTCTTCAATCAGTTTTGTTTATAATCAGGTCCTACTTCTGAGCCTGAATCATTTCTTTCTCCTTAACCCTGACAAAGTGTTTTAGACTCTTCTCTTTGTGAAAAGTAGTGAACCTAAGATACAATATGCCTAAAAATGTTAAAGTGAAACTAAATTATTCTCTTTGAAGCCTCCACAGAAAACACTGTAACTTATAAAAGCACACAGTTACTCAAGGAATTCAAATGTTTGCCATTTAATACCAGGATTTGTGGCATATATTTAGCACAAACATGTGGAAAAACTAAAATTGGATATTATTCATCATGCTTGACAATGAGTTTCTTGCCCAAGATTGATGTCTGGATCCAAAATGCTACACTTCAAAATATCTAAGAGAAGTTAATTAACAGTATGTTAGCATCAGATAACACATATGTGGGATTATCCACCTCTTGCTGCCACGTTATTTATGTTCTTTAATATTACAGCTCAATCAGGTTACAAATCATAAAACATATTTAGAAAGCAGGTTGATCACAGACAAGTCATATTAGTGGAGATGAGCCAACATCAAACTGCCAACATAAAATATTGCTCTCCCAAGGACCAATTCCACAATTCCTGCTGGTTGTGCTCAGTCCTGGGAGTATTAAAGGGATTACTCACACAAGTAAAAGCTCTGTGCAGGAGTAAGGGGTTATGGAATTGAGGCTTAAGAGGACGTTTATTAACCCAAAACACAGACATTCAAGTGTTTTTTCATGTAGAAGCCAAGCACTTTTTAGTGATTTAAACCAATCCCAGAAGTATATAATTCATGGCTATTCCAAGGGAATTATTAATCACTTGCATTTCCTATTTTTAAAGGAATGTCATTATTAATCATCTTATCAGTTTCCTCCTCTGTTACCTCTACTGAGCACCTATTGCTGTGTGAGAGCCACAGAAGCACCATTTTCTCAGTCCAACCTGCCCTGTGTCACTGTGGGTTGAATTTTATGTCTGCTGAAAACTCAAGGTCCTCCCCAGAAGCTCCAGGTTTCACCCAGTTTTCTGCTTCACCTACAAAATCCAAAGAAACTCCAACCAATTACATCACCACAGCCAATGTTGTAACTATTCTCTAAACTTTAACTGTTTCATTTGGGAATTCCAATCCCTTTCCTGAGCTGAAAAAGTTACTTATCTTCCAAATTTCTTTTATATTTCTACAAAGGCACTAAAAACTATCTTCAGAGTGACCCTCCTTCACTTTATCCTTCTTGCCCAAAAAATGAGCATTAATCCAGAATTTTTAGGGATCTGATAAACCTAAAGCCTTCAGCAAAAGAAAACCCTGGTCAACACAAAGACATTTAAAATAAAAGCCATTTCCTCCAGCATCCTGTAAGGAGCTCTGCCAGGCAGCAGCTCTGCCAAGCTCATGCTGAGAGACTGGTGCCTGCCCTTCTCTCATCCAGAATTGATCACTGCAGAGCTTTGGGCATTCCCATCTCTAAACACACACACTCAGACCTTGAGCTGCTTGCAATTTGGCAGCTACAGTTTCTAGCCCTACTGAAAAATTTAGGGGTTTTCTTCAGTCTAATTAAAAAACATAGTGCAACAGAATGCTAATTTTTAAAATATAGTTATCAGAAATGGGCTGCAGCACTTGTGATTCTTTTATTTGAAATATTTGGTTGAACTCAAGGTAAAATCAAACCATAATCCCCTGTGAAGATAATTCACTCAGAACACATCTTTTTCAATCTAATTTTGTATCATTTAGAACCCAAACCAATTGATTTTCAGGAAATTATTTGGCATTAATTGTTGCCATACAACAGACAAAGGATTTCCAAAATACCTTGTCAGCACATGCCTCTAAAAACCAGCATTTATAACTCTAGAGAAGAGGCTGAGTACTCTTTAAATGTGAATTTTTACACTACAGTAGAGTGCATTATATTTTAGGAGGACAAAAAATGTTGTGGCTGAATTAAGTGCTCCAAGGAATTCTGCAAACACTGGAAGAACTGCACTAACACAGCCTCCCTGGTCCTTGTAGGATGTGGGTTTTTCCCAGCAAGGCTGGAATTAGGCACATGCTGCAGACAACAAAGAAGCCTTTGCTTGTTCACTTAAGCTCAGAACACATCTCTCAAACCAAAGCTGAGTCTGTTTGGCCTTTCAAGTGCAAACCTATGATTTTCTTGTTTGATTTGGCATTAGTGAGAACCAGAAACCAGCTGCTCCTGGTATTTATTTATTCTGTGATCTTTCACTTTGTTTCTTGGCTTCTCAGAGTAGCCCCAAAAGCTCTGAGGAACACAGGACAGGGCAGTGACAGTGACTGGGAGCAGTGGCACAGACCACTAGAAAGAAGTGGTATTACAAACTAACCAATAATAAACCTTTTTTTTCAGTAAGCAGAAAGCCTAGAAAAATACCATTCTATATTTATTGGCTTTCTTCTCCTTTCAGCTCTGAAGTGCCTGCTCTAATGGAACATCATCTGTCAGACAAGCACTGCTCAAGTCAAAAGGAAGGAAGTGTTGAGGTGGGCAATTACACAGCAGTGCAACAGGATGCTGCTTTCACCACCTCCTGAAAAACACAAATACTTTCAGATTTATTTAACTGGACCTATTTCAAAATGCTATTTTTACAAGGCGCTTACATGTGTTTGCCTAAAGTTACACAAAGTTTGAATATTCCAAATAGTGCTGTCCTCAGTATCCAGGAAGAGTTTATGTTGTGTCATAAATTCATGCTTCAAAATTGCAAGCTAATAAAGCAGCACAAGCTTGGAAAAGGTTTGCAGTAAGGTTTGCAGTTCCACTCTGTGTTGAAGTGGGACACATAATTGTAGTAAAGAAGGCAATGGGATTAGAAAGGTGAGATGGTGCAAGCAGTGGGACATACACAGTTATATTGCAAAACAAGAACATAATTAAAGAATCTTCATCTTTCCACCTGGTTCCTGCAATAACCTGCCTTATTTAAGCAGTATGTATAGCTGCTCCCCCACCTCTTAACGATGCAAGGCAACTCAAAGAATTCAAATGGGGTGGAGAGAAGTTCAAAGGTAAACATAGAGAAAATTTATTTTGTGCATATTGAGTGTTTTAAAGATGATGTAAAAACCAAGCACAACTCTGAAGTGATGTCCTACCTGAAGGTCCTTCACGTTTGGAAAGGGGATTCCGATGGTCACGACTGCCCTGGCGTTCTCATCACAGAAATCCAGCCCCTCACTGACCTTCCCTCTGCACACAGCTACCAGGAGAGCTCCATCTGCAACAGGGCAGCAATACACGCATTATTCCAAGGAGAAGCTGAGCATCAGGAGAACCTTTCACCAAAATCTTTTAAAGAGCTGTTATTGTAATATAGTATAATACACTGGCTGGAAAAGATGAGTGGCTATAAAAATAGAGACTTTCAGATCCATGAGATTTACTTCACTTTGACCAATAATATTCTGATTTTGACCATCAAATAGCAAAATAATTTTACACTATATAATACAGGGGTAATTAATCATGAAAGAACAATGTGTATCTACAACAAAATGTTATACGTTAAACCTTGAATTTTACTTGAAGAGTCTGCATCAACTATTTTAAATGGCTGAAAAATGTACCTTTCTCTCCTTTACATTTGATTGCATCATAGTAGATTTTCAGCAACTCATCAAAGTCACTCTTGGCCCCTCCCTGGGGCTCTGCAATGACTGTTTTAACATCCTCCAACTTTCTCCACAAGCCAGTGTGCATCCAACGATCCTTTAACTTGTCCAGCATCTGAAAACCAACAGAAAAATCTATGTCGGCCACTTGAACTGCTCAAATAAAGCACACAAGGACATTTCTTTTAGTCAATTTATATTATTCGGTTTTTGTATTTGTAAATGCAAGTTTTCCTGCCATGCACAGAACCTCAGCTGTGCAGCACTTGGGAAACAGGGGGAATTTATTTTGTTAATTAGAAATAATGCAGATTTTTTGAGTGGTCAAAGCAAAACTCTCTAAATCTACTACAGTGATCACTAAAGAGCATCTTGTGGTATTCCTCAGAGCAGAGGAATGTCATCCAAAGAAAAATGAAAGTTACCTCTAAGAAGTAACTTTTTTTGATTACTAAGTAAGATCAGAAACAAATTCCATATTAATTTGAAATAAGCCTTTATATGTTAAATTTCCACAACATTACAATACTTAAAAACTTATATAAAGAAGCTGGGGGAGGAAATATTGATGTAGAATTTATCAATCTCCTCTGCTTCTTGAAGAGCCCATCAGCTTTGTTACACCTACCAAATTCTGAATTGTGCACCATTCTCTCCAAGTCAGAACATCTTCAAATCTCTCAAGCAAATAAACTTGTCCCACTTTTAATGCAAATAGTGAAAATATTGCATTATAGAAATCAAAGTTTAAAATTAGCACAGAACCTGAAGTTAGCTGTGGGGGTCATTCAGCAAATGCATCAACTTCTGCATTGGATTTTATCAAGTCAGGGAGCCAAAAAGTCCCACCTTGAGCTGCCCAGCGCTGCCCTCGAGACAAGGGCAAGGAAAGCAGCACATTCCAGAGTGAACCAAGGAGCTCTGGTTCAATGGCAAGAATGAAATCCTTTATTTCACCCTTTTGCTGCTCAGTGATCTTCAGTGTGTTACTGACTCTGTGCAGTTACTGAGGTTCATATATGAGATTTAAACTCACAGATTCTGCACTAAGGGCTGTGTTCTTAATGTGTCTGCACTTCCCTCCACTCCCCTCCTGAAGACTTTTCCATATTTTGCTCCAGGCTACATAAACTGCTCCATCTGGAACCTGCACTTGCCCTGCTTCATTCCTCCCAAAGCCACAGCATCCCTTCACTGCAGCCCACTTGTTTCCAGTGCACTCCAGCCAAGATCCCAGGATCCTGAATGGGTGATTGTTACAAAAATAATTTGTCCCATGTCCAAATCTACAGTTTAAGTGCTACTCTGAAGCAGAACTAATGACAACTAATTGTTGTCACATTTGAAAATTTTTAAGAAACTGGTTACAGGGCCCTTGGCATTTTTCATGTCCTCAGCATTAAAGATCTGAACTCATTCTCTGACATGAAGAATTTGGATGGGCTCCTTACAAGAGGGGACAAATGCTGTTATTTTGCATTTTCCCTGTTTTCTCCCAGCCTCTGCTCAGGGAATTACTCTTGCTTTACTCCTGATGTGACACCATTAGCAAGTAAGCACAGAGAGAGTAAGTGATGAGTACTAAGAACAGTTTCCCCCCAGCTGTAGCTGCAGAATAAATCATCTCTGCTAAATGTGTCTGTCCTCCTGTCTGTCCCCTTCCCTCCCAGCTCTGTCATTTCCTGGCAGCATCCCGTCTGTAATCTCTTTTTCTATAAAGGTTGTAATTCTGTGACTGAGCAATGAGTGTCCATCTTGCCTTCCCAGCCTGCCACTGTGGCCTCAGTTCTTGGATGTGATGTGGAGATAATTCTGGGAAAGCAAAGAATCAAACACATTACAGCTCTAAGTACATCCATTTGGGATCTGCCAGGGACTGTAACATCATTAACTTCCTAGATTTCATTCCTCCTCCTGTGGAACTGGGGGCTGCCTGGGCCCCACTCAGCAATCCCTGCTCAGCTGGCCCCTGGCACTGCCAAGGGGAGCCCAGGGAGAGAACACAGCAGAAACTTGGGTAGAGCTGAATTTCACACTCACATTGATAAAACCAGCCAGGTTTTGACTTCTAAGGGTCACTCACCCCTGATTTTCTCCTCTCCTCTCATTCGACCCAGTGGTATTTCTCACTAACACACCCCCAGGAAATGTTCTTGCCAGAAGGGCAAGATTCCTCACAAAAATTTCTTAATCCCTCAATTCCACTGTCTTTCTCTTGTATTTGAAAGAAGTAAGATTTATATTCACAACTGCAAAGATGGTAGGAGAAAACCTTTATCCAAATTCTTAAGAAAACATCTTTTCTTTTTGTGGGCTCCCAAGCCCCTCCAGGCAAGTCTCTCTTGGACCAAGCTTCAGGGTTCTTGTTTCATTGACAGCAACCATCACAAGAGAAAATCTGTGATTTTGATGGAAATATGGAAATTATTTATGAAATCTTTGGCAAGAATAGAGAAATTCATTTAATTCACACAACAGCTATTACCTCTTCCATTAATGGAGTTTGCTAGATATGGAAACTTCCCTTGTATCCACAAAAACACAGGACCCATGGCATGGACAGACACTAAAACAACAAGAATTATGAAGCTGACTGAATACAAATAAATAAAATATAGAACACACACAAAGAGCCAGGAACCAAGTGCGGGTTTCTCATAAAAAATTATTTCACTTTGGGCTGGAAAAGTGCAAATGGGAGCAAGATCTAATGCCAGGAATCACAGGAAGGAACCATTAATGCCCCCAGTCAGTCACTCCTCCTACCCAAGGGAATAATAGTTCCTGCACTGGAAGGCAGCCTGTGTATATTTTATTAAATCCCTTAAAAATGGATTCTCAAATGGTTTATTAACAAATGGTCTTCCTCCAAGAGAGCAGAAAATCTTGTTAGGAGGAATCTGTCATCTTCCCATGCAGGAGGGATGTGTACTGGGATAGCTTTTCCCTTTTCTTCCTTTCTGCAATTTAAAGACACCTGTAAGCTATGATCCATAAAAACTTGGGAGCTCAGTGTTTAGCTCTACCATCCATCCATGCCAGCATTCCCTTTTGAAGCAGTTTTTGAAGTATTCTGGAAGTTTGGGGATGGGGGGAGCTGTTTTTCCTTCCATTATGCTGCACTCCAAAGCCAAACCCTCCTGTGTGTGCCCACAAAGGAGAAGCTTTACCCTTTTCCATTTGCTGCTTTACTTTCTACTGTGCCAAAAATCACATTAGGGGGCTCCCAGGTTATGAAGCAAACCCAGAGATTTGTTGAATGTATTTCACCCTAAGGCAAGTTGATTGTAATTTGCACCATTGGATCAAACTTGGGGTGCTAACTTCAGGTTGCTGGGGATGTGCTTTTACTGCAGGATCCATCACCTCCTGGCAGGGAGTTGTGGAGTAGAAAATTGCTGAGAAGAGAGCAGGTCTAACAGAAAATTACTGGCTTATTTTAGCTCTTGTTCTGCTAATTTCTTTACATAAAATAGTCCTTAAATATTTTAGCATTCATTCAAGTCATGAATGGATCCACCTTTTCAGCTGAAAAAAGAGTATCACAGAAATAATCAAAAGAGCTTGAAGAAGCAACAAAACACCTAAAAATATCCAAGGATGCTCCAGAGCAGTACAGGACAAAAAAGATAATGATCTAAAAAGCACCTGACAGCTATATTAAAATAGCTCTGACTTTACTGGGTAGTTTAACAACTCTTAACTATTTAAAAATAATTATCATTGCAATTGCATTGTGTCCTTGTGCACCTGTAAAACTACAAGGTGTCCTGTTTCCCCCACATTTATACAGTAACTGAACAAAAGGTATTTCAAGGTGAACAGAACTTACAGGAACATCTTGAAACCCTTCTTAAAAATCTGCCATTATACTCTAAAATAACCCCACTTCTTCAAACTTTGCTTTTTTTAATCTTGGTTCTATGTGATGATTCCAAGTTGCACTTTTCCTTGTTATTCAAATATTCAGGTATTTGGAGGGAAGGAAGGAAAGAGCCATTAGGTTTTTCTTAATAAAAATCACAGTATTGGTACCACTGTCAGTGCAAAAAGTCTGAGCTCCCCAAGGGACCAGCACTGATCTAAAAGCCTTTTCCCTGTGTTTGCTCCCAGGATTTTCTTTGTGAATAAGCACTGCTTCAAATCAAAGCGTGTCTCCAGTGGGCTGGAAACGTGTTTGAAGGGTCAAACAGAAGTTCTACAGGCAGGCAGGCAGCACAAAACTCCAGAGATGGCAACAGGAGCTGTGGCAGCAGGAACTGAGCTGCTCCACACTGGGCTCCCTCCAGGAAAACTCAGCAATGGTGCAGCAACAGGGTCTGCTCCAGCTGGGAATGAGAGGGAGCCTCTGGCACCCAAAGGGAACCTCTGGGCATCAAAGGGATCCTCTGGCACCCAAAGGGAGGGCATCAAAGGGATCCTCTGGCACCCAAAGGGAGCTGCTGGAACAAAACAGGATTCATCCCCACCACCAACATGGAGAGAGCCACAGAGACTGACTCCCAGTGCTGCTCCAACCATTGCTGTCCAGTGTTCGTATCTTGCCAGAAAAATAACAGGTGGCACAACCAAACAAAGAGGTGTTGTTTGGGTTTTTTTAACTCTAAAAACCTTTAAATTCTCTTGAGAAGAAATGCACTTCCCTTGTTTTGCTACAAAATGTTTCCCCCATTTGGGCTGCCTGCAAAAAAACCAAGTACAGGTTGCTTTGCATCACAGAACAACTCAGCCTCCACCTGCATCAGCTGCCTCCTCTCTTCCTTTCAGTGAAAATAAATATAAAAATTAAAAAAAAACAACCAAAAAAACATACACTGACAGGTCCTTCTGCAACTTTAAGCTGTTAGGCTGGAGGACATCATATTTTCCACTCAAGCAATCCTCTGCTGGTCTCAAGGCACAGATGTTTTTATCATGGCTCTAATTCCAGAGGCATTGCATTCCCTTTTTCAAAAGCTTCCAGGAGGAGATTTGCTGAGTCAGCTGCTTACCTACAGCTGGAAGCTTTTGTTCCAATCCCTCTGGTCCCAGGACAATCACCTGGATGAATGTTCTACTTTCATTATGAAAGGATGGAACTGTCCCTATATTAGTGATAATCCTAAAACATATTCAGTCATTAAATCAAGGCATTGCTTCAATGCAGCGACCTTAAATTCCTGTTTTTTCAAAGGAACCCTGGAGAGTGGATCTGGCCAGACTTCACCTTTTTTTTTTGTATTACAGGTTCTTATTAAATTAATTTCTTCAAGGATTAAGATGGTTTGGAAAAGTAGAGCACTAGCAGAAGTTATTTGATAGTTCTTGAACTAAAACCTTTGCCAACTAAAACTTGGTACCAAATGACCCAGAATCCTACAGGCAACTGAGCTCCAGGAATATTGGAACTCTTCACTTTGGGGAAAAAAAGAAGACTTTACAGAATTTACCAATGTGGGGGTCACAGGATCATTAATTTATTCCATTCCCATTTTTAGTTAAAAAACAAACAAACCAACCCCAAAACAAAAGCTAACAACAGCAGCAACAACAAAAAGGGCCTTTGAGGTTAAAAGTGAACAGGAAGGAAACAAGAGAAGGAAGAAAAGCAACAGAGGAATGAAATGGTAATTAAAGATTGAAGGGGCAAGAATAAACTGCCTGGAAGGACTGGTGTGAAAGGAAAATTGAGTTTCCTTCCAAAAAGAGGAGGGAAAATGTTTGGGACAGCTAAGCAACAAACTCCAAATGTCCATTATCCCAATCTTTGAGATCAGTTTGGAACAGCACCCTAGAACTGTGAAACATAGCACCATAAAAGGCACAATGTCCCTCAACAAGAGCAAAAGGGTTCAAAAACAAGCAAAGAAACCCAACCACATTTGTCAAAATCACCAAAAAATATTCCCCAGTTTAAGAAGGACTAAAAGAATATTCACCTCTGGACCACTAGTCATTTACCCAATTGGCAGAAATAATTAACATTTCACCTTTTCTTCTTCTTAATCACCCCATACACTTTGTCAAAAGGTCATTTTAATCACATTTTTCACCAAAAAAAAAAAAGAGGAAAGCCCCAATTTTGCTCGACACCCAGACATTTGCCCTGCTCTGGGCTGGAACTCCACCAGCCAAGAATAACTGAGGCCATTGAATTATTTAAAGCAGTTGTTTGCACTCAATTAGATTTTCATGAAAGGTTAAGCAAGAGGCTGATTCACAGCCCCTCCTCATGTTTATGGGAGGGTTCTAACACAGGACAAGGTATTTAAAATTTATTCATTTGAATGACTGAACCAATGGAAAAAATAAATGTATTTTTTCACCAACAAAAAGGTATTTTAAACTTCAAATTTCATTTCCTCAGCTTCCAATTCTAACAGATTTAATTTCAAGAGAACATGAAAATATCTGTGCCAAAATATTTCATTTATGAAGTAAAATTTGCTTTCAAAATAAAAAACCTTTAAACCTTCACTGCTAATAGGAAACTGGAGAGAAATACTAAATGTCCATGTAAATACACATGCACAGGATAATCTTGTCTTTATGGATCAAAAATAAATTGATTTAATGCAGCATTTTAATGAAAACAGGCCACACAAGGATGTTATTCTTATTGAGGAGAGGCTCCACCTGTTTTCTCCTTCACATTTCCCAACTGTTTGTTATTTCAGGGGGCATCATCCAGCAATGCAGAGAAAGGTTCTGAACCTGCCTGGTTCCAACAGTGATAATTTCAGTGAATTCCTGCCTCATTTCCTTTCCCAAAGCCTCACAGAGCCTCTGGAATGAAATGTTTCAGAAGAGCAAAATAGAAAATACTAAAAAAAACATAAATAAAAGTATTAATCCAAGGGATGCACAGGGATCTGGAGCCATGTCCTACATTTATTCTGATATTCTACATTTTTCCCAGAGCCTCTGAATTGTCATTATGTGCTCACGGAGTCTGTCCTAAGCACTTGTTCCTGGGAAAAGCTACCCTGGATTGCAAATCTACAGCACTGTGCTATTTCAGGAGATTTTTCACTTAATCTCTCTATTCCTTCACAGCAGAAAATGAGTTTGAAGGATAAAACTTTAAAACCATAGAAGTGTGATTTTGAAGAATTTCCATGCAAAAGGTGTCATTTTAAATTGAGAAGTACTCTACTTATTTTCTCAAGAATTTGACACAAGAATGGAATAAACCCAAATGTTTAGGGCCAAGAATGGTGTTGAGATCCCCACATATGGTGGGAAATGTGGGGCAAAATCTGTGCTCATACACAGACACTGCAGGGGAAATTAAAAAAAAAGGGAAAAATTAAATAAATAAAGCTACTGTGCAACTCAACTCCATAATTCAACTAAACCCTGACCACAGTGACAAACTCTGTATTATGAACAAGATTCTGATCACCATGTGCACACTCCAGCACAATAAAAGGTGAATAATTCATCATCATTTTCAAAGGCAAAGTATGCATCACTCAACTTGGGGGCAGCACGGGGGATTTCACTGGCAGGATTTTTCTTTGGGGACAATGACAAAGTGCCGCTCACCAGCAGGAAACTGAAGCACTGAAGTGTGTTCCATGTGCCAT